GTTGGTCTGGGGGAAAGCAAGTGTTCCCAGTTCCTGCTCGGGTAGCTGGAGCCGGTGTGGTGAGTCTTTGCTGCTTTATGGCTTGCATTCACATCTGGGGTAAGAGGGAGTAAAAGACTGACACGCTGCAGATTTACATCCGGGATATTGGCTTGTTTTGTGCTGGAAAAATGGGCATCCCTGACCAAAAGCTTCTGGAGAAAACGGAATGAGTTCTCTGTCCCCCTTCTTGGTGTTGCTGCTAAAAAGCAAAACAAGTGAGAAATAAAAATATATGGGCATCCCTGACCAAAAGCTTCTGGAGAAAACGGAATGAGTTCTCTGTCCCCCTTCTTGGTGTTGCTGCTAAAAAGCAAAACAAGTGAGAAATAAAAATATCTTTGGATGTGTCAGATCGTGATACATTTCTAGGACAAATATTTTACATGTAATTAGGAAACAGGAGTCCTGGGTTCTTCTAGACCTGTGCAGCTTGAGTAAGCCAACTCATTTCGAGGTGGTGTGGTCAGTGCGTTGTGCAAGGGGCAGACCTGTTCCTCGCTGTGCAGCGGCTGCCGGCGTGGCCCGATTTAAATAGCAAAGCAAAACGTTTTCAGATCCTTAGAAAACACTCTGCAGATCCAATGTCCTTTTTATTTTTAGCTCTTGGTTAGTTTTAGCAACTGAGTGGCCAGATGTTAGCTTTATGGAGATGGACAGAAATAAGAGCTTTCTCGCTGCTGGAAATTGAGACTATTCAAATGCCTCAAAAATAACTACAGGAAAACTTCTGTTGCTGAAGCACCACTCCCTCAGTTGTTCATGGTATGAAGTACGGATTATGCTAATACTTCCCAAGTATTTGAGAAGTATTCAGCAGCAAAGCAAGCCCGAGACTACCCTAGACTTTGGGATGATTAAGACTGTTCTAATAGATGAAACTGGGACTTTTCTGTGTAAAACCACGTAGTAAGAGACTGCTGTCCCTATGAAGAGCATTGAGACCTCCTGAGCGCTCAGCCACTGCTGACTTCACCCTTGGGCTGTGCCACCTCTGGATTGTTTTTGATGAAAGCCATAAAATGGTTGAGGTGTGTTGCTAGGGTGGCAAACTGATTCTGCATTTTCTGGCTTACGTGAGCTAGTTTTTTGTTTCTGAGTGCAAAAGACCAATGGGTCGGGGTTGGAAAAGGTGCTCAGACAGCGATGCAGGAAAGCATGTGTTCAGCTGAAGCTGTTCTGAAAGGCAGGTACGGAAAGGAAGAGCGCTTCATTTCCATTCCTTCCCATTTTGGGAGACAGAGCATGTCACAACAGTGCTGAGCAGACAAGAGCCGCTTGCCAGCATTTAATTTGTTGAAGATTAAGAAATTATTCCATTCTTACAATACCATGTCAGTCTAGAAATACCTTTGAACTCTGAGGGATGTGAAATTTAAATCTAGCCTCAGATTTCGTAGGGTTTGGAAGCCAAGGCTTTATCAGGGTCAGAACTGGGTGGATGGTTTAAGGGGGGTCATGTTAATAGCATACGTAGAGACAATGGACTGGATCAACTTCAGCTGCCTTGGAACTTCGGGATAACTAAATTCAGAACAGGACACTGAACTTAGGCTTTTTTTCTTTGTGATCTGGAAGCTACCTGGTGCAATGTAGAGGTTGGCTTTTTCTGGTGTTCCTCTGCAAGGAGAGTTGACTGCTAAAGCATTGCTCCCTTTCTGGCCAGCAGCTTTCCTCCCAGCAAATATCTGCAGGCTTGAACCCCATGGCTTTCTCTAAATGCTGTCCTTGCTCTATGCCCTAACAGTCCTATGTCCTCATCAGGCTGAGGGCAGAAAGCTGAGAAGTCTTGTCTGTGGCTGGGCTGAACATCAGCAGATGCTTTCATTATTTGCGATGGTTTCTAAAAGCACTGTCGCAACTGTTGGTGTCAAACCAGAAGCAAAGGGTTCTCTCACGAGCAGAAATGATAAACAAATTTAAGACACTTGTCAGCAGCCTCACAAATGTGTTCACCACCTAGAGCTTGAAGCAGCTCAGCAGTTGCGAACCACTACTTCTGTAGAACAGCGGTTTCAGAAGTGCTCTAAGTAAAGAAGTGTCCTGACGCGAGCACCAAAAATAAGCATGTGCTGAGCTTTTCTGAGCATTTGGCCAGGTCACAGCTGCTGGCTGCTGAACGGTTGGGAAAACGTATCCCCTCATTCAGGTGCTCAGCGCTTGAAAGCCTGGACCCAAGCAATTCCAGTGGCATCTCCTTCTCTAATAACCACTTAGTGGTTCACCCTGCAAAAATAGCTAAGTTCTCGCTGCTGATCCTGGAAGGAGGAAAGCAGTGCTTTTATTCCTGATCCTACCTGATTATTAAAAAATAGCCTGAAGAGACTTTCCTCTGTTTGAAGGAGGCAGACCTTAAGCTCTGGGATCGTGGTAGCTAGCCTCCCCCCACCCCAGGCAGTCCCACGTGCTGCTACACAATGCCATATGGGAAAGCAAATATCCCTGATTGCTCCGATATCAAATACCTTTTGCTGACCTCCCTTGAAGACAGTCCCTTGTAAAATTGCTTTTGTCCAGAACTTTCAGTCACTTGGAGCCTTGCAGGGGTTTCTGAGCTCTGGTGATTTATTATCCTTGGTAATCTTGTGGTTTATGGAGAGCCCTGCTGGAAATACACAGGGGTACAAGGGTAAAAGTATCAATTAACCAGTGATCTGGTGCCAAAAGCCACCCATGTGCAAGGACAGTAGTGGGATTTCAGGCTGTGAGATAAGGCTCAGAGGATGAACCTGCATGGGAGGAGGATCTGTGTGAACCCAGACCCCCTAACAGCAGGATAAAGGTATCTAATAAGGCTGGATGCCCTCCTTTTATGGTGTGTCAGCATCACTTTTCAGTCTCCTTATTCGGAGCATCTGGGGAGTGGGATCCGTGAAGTCTCTTCTCTTAGAGCCTCTGTGAACAAGGGCAGTAAAGCAGAAGGGCCAAGTCCCGGGACTGCTGCCAGATGAAGACCATTAACAATTTTCATTGCTCACGCAGGAACATCTCTTATGGTGAAGGTGGCTTCAGGGTTCCTGCATAGGACTCTAACAGTGGAGGTGCCCTTCAAAAGGGGAGAAAGAGTTGATCATTTCAGCAATTTGGGCTGAAACAGAGGAAGTGGTCGATTCCAGTGGTGGGTCAGCATTGCTTTTCCTATCCCGTGATGGCAGAAACTAGCTGTACTGGTGAGGAGGATCGAGACTGTGGGAGCAGGGTCTGCTTTACCTTCTGTGCAGCTGGCTGGTGTCAGTGGGTGTGGAAATATCAGCGAAGGCAAAATTAGTAGTGTAAAGCAAAGGACAGTGTGCTCTATCCTAATTTATGGTCTTTGGACAGCCACTGAGCTTGTAAATCAAGGCAGAATTTCTGCCAGGTTGCTTGGTGATGCCGTAGATCAGCAGAGTCATCAGCCGAAAAAAAACCCACAGAAAGAAAAGGTAGATATGCTTGATATGAGCTAAAGGTTGGCTCAGCAATTCTGATTTCATCTCTCAAGTACTTCCTTGGTTTATATTTTTAGTGTTGCAGGGCTGTGGAGGAGAAAGCAAGGCTTCAGTCCCAGTCTGCCGAACCACCAGAGTCTTGCTTAAATCCCAGTCTGCTGGGATTCACAGTGTAGTGGTGATGGTTTTCCAAGCCGGCTTGGGAAGCGGGTGGGTTTTGCGCAGCTGCAGTGGTTGTGGAGGGCAGCACCGATCAACAAGCTGTGCGATTCTTTGATGTACCCCGTGCGCCGCAGCTTCCCTGCGACCTGAGCTATGCGATCACAGCTCTTCGCTCGAGGGAGGAGGGTGAGGAATACAGGTCATCAGCGGGCCAGGCTGGCAACTCCTTTCTCCCACTGCGACGAGTTACTCACCGAGATGGACTCAGTGAGGTCTACAGATCGTTATTTTCATTAGTGGTGATTCATATTAAGTGTTTCACAATCAGGCCTGCTGGTGTAACATGTTCCTTTCCACAGTACCATTTATCTAAAGATCTTAGAATACTTTATGTACATTAAACTTTAATCCATGTTTTACCACCAGGGAAGGAGGATTGTTTCCATTTTGCAAATGAGGTAAACCGAGGCACAGAGCAAGAAAGTGTCGTGCCCAAGACTGTGCAGGTTGGGTGCAAAGTTGTATGGAGTGCTGTCGTGCAACGAGTGTGTGTTTCCCATACGTGGCCGTATTTCCCTGCCCGAATTTTAAAGGAACATTTGATTTCCTGGGGCTAAGGCTGAGCAGAAATCTGTCTATGGCTGTAAATTCAGAAGGTCTGTTGTGAATCAGAACTTCCTCTGGTGTTTGGGAATGTTTAGATTTGTCATCCCAGACTGGCCCTGACCTGAAGGGGTTGGAGCAGAACTGCTGGTTTGTTTTTTAGGGCTGGTATCAACTGGTTGGTGTAAGCTGTAGAGTTAGGAGTCGGCGAAGAACTCTGCTTCCGAACTGTTCGTCGTCGTCTGCCTGTGTAGTCAACGGGGTCAGTATAGACAGTGAAGGATGTAAGTGTGATTCATCTGACTCTTTCAGTTGCCTACCAGAGGATAAGATGAATTGTGAATTGAACTCCATTGTCTGTTGTATGTAAAGGGAGATTTAAAGGGAGATTAGGTGAACCCTGTCCTACTGCCCATAGAGAAGCCGAGTTGTGTGAACGGGGACAGATTTCATTGTTTGCTGAGTTTAATCTCTTGTGGCAATTAGACAGATGACTTCAATGTTGTGTGTTATAATAGCTCCTAAAAAAAAAAAAAAAAAGGAAATGCAGGCCCTGTTTTCCCTGTGGGAAACATCCATTGAGACTCCCAGCCCACGGAAAGCCAAACACGTGCAATGTAGGAGAAGGAACAGGTCCGGAGAGGGGAACTGACTTGCTTGTGGTCATTTCACATGTGAATGGCAGAGCCAGGGGGGTGTTCCTCTCTACTCCAGTGCTCCTGTTGTTAACGACATTGCCACTGAACTCACCTTTATCCACCTCTGCTTCCCTCCCTGCCAGGATCCTCTTCTCTGAGGGCATATCCTCTCATCTCCGTCATCACCAGGCAGCCCTCTGTGGTCCCTCAACTCATCCCAGCAGCCACCAGCTCCCATGTGCTGCCAGCCCAGCCCACCTCACGGACTGCAAGCCCAGAGACGCCTGCCAGCGAGACCCCTGCCAGCAGCGAGTCAGAGGCAGAGCAGCCCGTGCCTCGGTTAAAAAAACCACGCCGGAGTAGGACCATCTTCACGGAGCTCCAGCTGATGGGCTTGGAGAAGAAATTCCAGAAGCAGAAGTATCTGTCTACACCTGACAGGTAGGTCAGCCTCTTGCACTGGGAGAAGATTGAGCAGTAGGGCTGCTCTACTCCTGCTCAGCTGTTCGCATACCAAACGCTCCCTGGCCGTAGAGTGCTGCCTTCTAGCTCCACAGAGACCTCCTCTGCCATTGGCCAAGGGCATGAGCAGATGATGAGATTCAGTTTCAAGGCTAACTTTTGCTGGGATCAAAGGTGACATGAATAGATGATATCAGTGGAAATGCCAGGTGGTGAGGTGTGCCTGCTAGCAGGCATCGGATTCAGTTTCAAGGCTAATTTTTGCTGGGATCAAAGGTGACAGGAATAGATGATATCAGTGGAAATGCCGGGTGGTGAGGTGTGCCTGCTAGCAGGCATCCAGGCTTAGAGACGGGTAAGGTACAGAGCAGAAGGTTCCGTGTCTTTCCCGTTCCTGCTGCACATGTGAAAAAAGGTGGAGCCTGTGTCCTCCTGGGATCTGGTGGTGGATGGCTCTGTCTTCATGGCAGCTGAGAGGTTGTCTGTAGCTTCAGCTGGTGGCTGACCTAGCTTTCATCTAGCAAACTTGGGTAGCAATTCAGTGAGAAGGCGCTGGGCTGTCGGTCAGCTTGGAAAACAGAGCCAGGGTTGCACAGAGTTGAAGGCTACCTTGCCCTTATGAAGGCACATACTTTGTCGTTGTGAAGGAAAAGGCAAGTTCTTAGGCACTGCTTAGTACCAAATGGACAAACCAAATAAGGAAAAGTTTTATCTGTTTTAAAGGCTTCGAACCCTACTCTGCAAATTTAAATTACAGGAAAACAACCTATCCAATTCCTATTAGATTTATAAACCTAGAGAGGGTTTGAAAGGTACAGCAGACCTCGAACTCCACAGATGGCAGTGTCCCAGTGTTTAAACTGGTTTTGAAGTTCGGCGTTCTCCACTCGTACTGCCTGTCACCAAAGCCAAGGACTGCAGCTAGACCAGATTTCGTCGGCACAGCGAGGCTGTCTCATAGCTTCAGAGTTTCTAATGCTCCTGTACTGGCTTCTCACAGCTTCACATAACCAGATGGCTGACACTGTTGATGAAGTGCTTGAGACTGTTTGTTAATTTTCTCGTGTGACTGTTCCTTGGCTTTGTACATGTTTGAGGCTGATGAGCAATTCCTGCCCGTGTACCACTTCCCCTCTGTTTGTTTCCTTGGGTTTCTAGGCAATGCTGGCTATGCTAAAGCGTGTGGCAAGAGATGGTAGCTGGTTGCAGGTACTCAAAGTGTGGTAAGACGTGCATTAAAGCAAGAAGAGTTAGTCAAGCAGTGTTTCGCTTTGTCAGCTCGTGGCTGGAAACGTGATGGCGAAGCAGTGGGTTGCCATCTGCATCCAATCCTGCAGCTTTTGGCCTGGACACAACACTGTACTGCTGGGAGGGCAACTGAAGCACCGGGTGTGTTAGTAGTAAGGGAGTGCAGTGCAACGGGATCGTGCCTCTGCTAGATTCTGCTTTTCACATCACAGTGATGGTATCTTTTAAGTCAATGGGATATCTCGCAGACATGATGTGGTGGCATAGGCAGCAGGCAAACGAAGCCTGTAGAGCTACAGGGAATCCAAAGTGGGGGGGGGAACAAGAATCCATGAGTGTGAGTTTGAGCACAGAGGGCTGGCGCGGGGTACGTAGGTGTTTGTGAATGTGAGAGTGAGCCTGACTGCCCTAGGAGCCCAGCTGAAACAAAAGTTTTATTATGAAAAACTTGGCCTTGGCAAATGTGTTTCCCCATCCGAAGGCGGGGTGATATTTTTCCAAAAAGTTCACACAATCCAGAGCACCTTGGAATGTGACTTGGAGTTTGAGCTGTCCCACCTGCGGGACTTGCGTGACTCTGTGGGGCGCTTGCCCGGCGTTGTTGAGGATTTCCAACTTGGTCCGTTGTGCAACTCCGTTACGACACTGCCAGATGCTTGGTGCTATCCCCTGTGGGGAAGGATAAAGAGTTACTCTGAGCTGCCTTTGCTTCATATCCTGGGTTTTAGTATAGAAATAATGAATGGTTTCAGATGAACTTGCACAGGTTGGAGATTTGTGGAGGATGAATCAGGATTATGGGCTGTCTGCCACATATACCCTTAAGCTAAACATGCAAATATTAAATTCATTTATAAGCCTAAATTGCCTAGAATAGCAGAATGCGTAAGAAATTAATAGATTTAGATGTACTACTACTCTGTGAGAAATGAGAAAGTGTTATTATCCCCATTATGTAGGTAGTGAAGAAGAAATATGGTACAAAGAGCAGCACTTTCAAAGGCAGATGGATGCTGGGTGTCTTGGTTCTTACGTGTTTGCTGCAGACACCATGGACTTGTTTTTCAGGGATGGGGTGTACCAGTAGCTCCCCGTTTCACGTACGAACGTGGAGTGTCAGCTGTTGGGATACAGCAGTCTTGTGTTTCAAAGAGGGCAGGCAAACTTCTGAAATTTCTGGGCTTGCTTGTCTATCCTGTGGTCACAGAGGAGGAAAGAGAACAGAGAGCCTCCAAACACCTAAATATTCCTGCTTCTTCCTTGACAGCGTCTATCTGTACATCCTAAAATCACAGTATTTACTACTTTTGTCTGACCCTCTCTGAAAATAACAGACTAGCTAGACAAATAGCCATCTTTTGTGGCGATCTCACTGTTGTGTGCTCTTACAGTGTTGCATCTGAGCTCTTCTTGTCCTCTGTAAACTCATTTCGATGCCTGTCTTGTCTCCCAGGCTTGACTTAGCCCAGTCGTTGGGGCTGACTCAGCTCCAGGTGAAGACATGGTACCAGAACCGTAGGATGAAGTGGAAGAAAATGGTAAGTGGTTCGTTACCATTTCCCGATGGTCCTTAAAAACTGATTTCAAAAGAACAGATTTGGAAGCTGAACGTAGTGTCAGTGACCCGTGTCTGTTTATACCAAGTTTTGTTTTATTCTTGGTCACTTTTCTTAGAGACTTACTCTTTTTTTTTAAATGTTCGTACTGCAGCATATGTGGTGGGCTACAGGGACCAGAGGCAGCAGGAAGAATACAAAGCAAAGGGATGAAAGAAATTAGAACAGAACAGAGGGAAGAACCAAAATATCTCCCTCTGCATTTTTGGCATTTTCTTGTGATCTTAATGCTTGTGGGATTGGTTATATGCGTACACAAAAAAGATTGTATTGCTCCATGGAAACCAATGCAGTTTTGAGAGCTAGTATCATTCATTCTTGATTTTCATATCTTCCTTTCGCCTCTCTCACTTATCCTCAGCTTCATGGCCCTTTTCCAGTTAAAATGCTATTAAAAAGGACAAATGTCCAATAAATCCTGGTGGGAACCATGGTGCTGTGACATTTTCCAGTGGAGATGTTTATGTATTCTGATCTGGGTGAGGAGATGCAGTTCTAGACTGTCTCATTGAATGTCTGTGGCAGCTGCAGAAGTTACTGCCACTTAAAACAAATTTGGGATTATCTTGGATGCAGATCTTTGGTTGGAAGTGTCTTGTTGCTGCAGTGAAGGGAGGGGGAATTCAGCGTAGGAACAGACCTGTTTTGCTGACTGCCACCTTTTATGCAGATGAGAGAGGTCTCAGGTGTTGTAATGCGGATGTTTAAATAAAAAAAGGCTACATCAGAAGCCAGAGAGGCTGGAGGAAAGGCAGTCGGAGGAAATCCTGGCTGAGGTTTATGACTGCGTATACTGGGGCTTTGAATAAAGCAAACACTCAGGGAAGGAGCTGAATTCTGCATAAAATCTTCTCCTTCTGTAGTGTTGAGGACTGCATGCATAGGTTGCTTTTGGGCCTCCCGTAGGGACTGACTTAGACACCTCCGGGGTTTTGGGTGTCCTTGCCAGTAAAGGTTGCGTTTCGTGTTATTTATATGAGATAATGGGCGTGCTCGCTCCGTGAATGCAGGGCATTTCTGTGAGGCTGAAACGGTGACCGAGTCATGGATTAACTTTGAGGTCAAAGCCACGTTTCATCCTTCTCTGAAGGCTGTCTCACAGCAGCGGAGTTCAGATTGATCCTGACGGTTCATCTCTCTGCTCCAGGTACTGAAAGGTGGGCAGGAGGCGCCAACGAAGCCCAAAGGCCGTCCAAAGAAAAACTCCATCCCCACCTCGGAGGAAATTGAAGCGGAAGAGAAGATGAACAGCCAGGCGCAGAGTCAGGAACCGGAGGGATCTCAAGCTCCCGAGGAGCCTAAATTGACAGAGGAGAAGCCAGAAGTCTCTTTGGAGACAGAGAAGTCTCCGGAACATATACCAGAGCCCTCCTCAGAGGAGACTATGCCATTAAGTTAAAAGGGAAAGCAGGGAGGGAAAGGGGAAAAAAGAAAAGCAAAAAAAAGATAAAAGAGGAAAAACCCAAACCAAATATATATGTGTATATATATATTTAAATATGTATGTAATTGTGTGTGTACATATATATATAAATATATATATATGTAGACCTTGTGTATAAGTCTAAAGATTGGTCACTTTGTGCCTTTGGGAATCAGCCATCGTGGGCCATGGCGGAACAAAGACATCCCGTGACGAGCCGGCCCTCCGGCAGCACGCGTGAGCCTTCCCGCTGCCAGCGATGGAGGCTTGAACCGTGCTCC